CGGGCGTCAAACTAAAAAGCTTCCAGTCAGACGGGGGAGGAGAATACACCTCAACGAGGTTCAAGGACTACTTGGCAGAAAGAGGAATCAAGCGACTCATCTCCCTTCCCTACGCTCACCAACAGCAGGGTGTAGCAGAAAGGATGAACAGGACCCTCCAGAACACCATGCGAAAGCTGCTACGTGGCATGCACCTGCCCAACCACCAGTGGCCCGAAGCAATGGACCACGCCGTCATGCTGCACAACTTACTCTCGTCATCATCGCTCCCGAACAAAGCATCACCGCATCTGCTGTGGACAGGAAAACTGGGCAGCACAAAAATGTTAAGGGTCTTCGGCTGCATGGTACAGTACCGGCCCCCATCTGCACGAGCCGGTCGATTCTCTCAACGCGCACAGTGGGGACTACACCTGGGCATCGAAAAGCATTACAACGCATGGAAAATTTTCGACGTCGAGACAAAAGAGACAGTGGCAGCACGTGACGTCATTTTCTACGAAAACCTCACCCTCCGGTACTACCTCGCCAACTTGCAAGAAGAAAACCCCGATCGCTCCGCTGGCTTTCTTGGCACCCGAGCCTTCGCCTCGGCAGAAGACGAAGCTGACTGGGACGAGCAGAACGTGGACAGAGCCTCGGAAGAAGCCGGACCTCTCCCTTACTGCTGGGTGGATGTTCCCATGGACGACGAAAATCCACGCGAAAGCATCAACGCCGAAGTCTTCTATCACTTCGCCGACGATGGTTACGTTGCACCTGAACGGGTCAACACCAACGAAGCAGAACGCGTAGGGCCAAATTTCACACCTGACCCAGAAGCGGGAGACGAAGCCGTTTATCCCGCGGACACAACACTCCCTCGATACACACAGAGCGGACTCCAAATCCTTGGCCTCGTCACCGCAGTTCACGGAGCGGCCATTCCTAAAGAGCCTGCGACGGTTCAGCAGGCTCTGGGGGGGGGGAGCATAAGGAAAAATGGCGCGAAGCCATGGACAAGGAGCTGAAGGCACTGGAGGAACGCAACACGTGGAAAGTAGTTCCTATCGGCGTGACACGGAACAAAACAGTACTCACCGGGAAGTGGGTCTTCCGTGTGAAGACAAAGGCTGACGGCACCATCGACAAGTTTAAAGCTCGCTGGGTCGTACGCGGCTTCGACCAAGAACACGGACGCGACTTCACCGAGACATTCGCCCCGGTTAGCCGACACACCTCGCTGCGAATCCTTCTCGCGATCACCGCCATGAAGAAGAAAAAGCTACGACAAATCGACGTTGCAAATGCATTTCTCTACGCACCTGTTGACGCAGAAATCTTCGTCGAGTTACCGCACGGCTCCAACGGAGAGCCTAATCAAGTCTGTCAGCTGCTGAAGTCGCTCTACGGCATCAAGCAAGCTACGCGGCTATGGCAACAATACCTGCATGCTCGCCTCATTCGCATCGGCTTCAAACAACTGCCGCATGATCAGGGCATGTACCGGCTCACGAAGAACACCGACTACATCCTGTTAATCGTCTACGTAGACGATCTACTCTACATCGGCTCGACTGACGGCATCACAACCTGGTTTGAAGGGGAGCTACAGAAGGACCTCACGCTCACAGTCTCATCTACCGTCACACAGTATCTCGGCCTCAACATACGAGAAGAAGAGGACGCGATCTACCTCAACGCCGCGAAGTATGCCGACACCATCGCCAAGCGCTTCGCACTCACACCGACTGCCATCTCCACACCATACCGCTACACGACAGGAAGCAGCAAGGGAAGCTCCGCTCTACTTAAGCCCGCCGGCATACGCGACTACCAAAGGAAACTGGGCTGCCTCCTCTTCGCAGCCGTCACCTGCCGCCCGGACCTATCGTACTCTGCAAGTCAACTCGCCACCTACCTCAAGAAGCCCGAAGCGGAACATCTGGCTGAGCTCGACCGCGCTCTTCACTACCTCGTCAGCACTCCGACGATCGGCCTAACTTACTACAAGAACGCAACTACACCGCCTAAATTAATCGGCTACGTCGACGCCGATCACGCTGGCGACTCCGATAACAGGCGTTCTCGCACCAGCTACATCTACCGCCTCGAACCTATCGGACCTATCTCTTGGCAGTCGAGCAAGCAGGAATTAATCGCCCTCTCGTCAGCTGAAGCAGAATATATTGCACTCTGTTCAGCCACCAAGGAAGGACTTTACCTTCGCGAACTGCTGGAAGAAGCGAAGCTGGCCCAGTTACCCAGCTTCACTCTGTTCTGTGACAACCAGTCGGCAATCCGCATTGCCAACAAGAACGGCTTCGCGAACAGGACGAAACACATCGCCCTGCGATATTTCTTCGTGAAGGACGAGATCGAGAAAGGGAGGCTTGAGCTGTCATACTGCCCCACGTCCGAGATGGCAGCTGACTACCTGACCAAGAAGCTCGGAAAGCAGAAGTTCGAGTACTGCATGCTGCTGACTGGACAGAGCCACGTCACTAGCAGCGACACTCCAGAAGCGAAGGGGAGTGTTGGAAACAATCGATCTTAAACGCCTCTGTCGTGTCGAAACACCGAGACACAAGTGAAGCAAGATATATCGAAGCACCCGCGAGTCAACCCTCGGAGGTTGAAGTAACCGCTGGAGGTTACACGAAAGTCAAAGGTCAGCGACCTTTGACCTGACAAGTACAGCGCGACAGCAAGGACACACAACTGACTCGTTACAGAGCAGTTGCCCGAGTCGTCACTGTATCGAACCGCAACAGCAACAGTAAAGTAGTTATAACTGTATCTCTTCGTATTCCTTGTACTCTTATATAATCCTGTATCTCCTTGCTTTAATCAATCTACTTTGCCCTCACATACTAGCGCAAGGTGGTTCACAAATTCTTCACTAAACGCTTCCGCTATTACAACAAGTTCAACTTAGAGTTCACCCCTGCAAAGATCCTAAGGGCTTTTCTCAGCCCAGCAATTTCCTGGAATTCCCACGCTTGGGTTGATGATTCGTGGTGTTTAGGGTTGATGCCGTATACATGGCATGCCATCCAGAAGGGGTTTATTATTATTTTTGCCACGAGGTGGCCATTTGCTTTTGAAGTGACAAATAATTTGGGATGTCCCCCAAAATACAAACCAGTTGTTTTGATGGAGTACAAAAAGAAAATCTTGCCCCAAGAAAATGGACGCAAGCTTGAATTAAACCGCCTCTGCCCAAAGGAATCAGAAATTTGAGTTTGGAGGCGGCCATAACCTGTGCACTGCCTTCGAGCATTCCTTACCAACTCTCAGCATATCTATTTCTTTATGTTGTGTTGTTGGAGATGTATCATCGACAGTCTGTGGACACTAGTTGCGGACTGGTACAACGTATTGCAATGAAGCTTTCGCTTGTATGGCCACCTCGTCGACTGTTGTGGGACGGGTGATGTCAGCAAAGTCAACGTGGTCCAAATGAAGTTCCTCTATTCAACACTAAGCAAATTATAAAATTGGGTGTTGAGCTCTGTTTTCTTGTCAACCATCACACGGGATTCACGGCAGTAACGTTGAAATGCACGAGTCGCATGTCCTTTTTCGAATTCGCAGATGTTCGGAGTCACAGGGTGGAATGGGCTGGTCTGTAATTGGGCAGCTGCGAGACGCAGGTGATAAAATTTGCCGACTCGCGTTATGTGGGTGACCCCACACACATTTGTCCGTAGTTCAGTTACTAGCCAGTGTTGTGGCCACACTGTCATTGGTGGTTGCAAGCTCTCCACAGCTGGCGACGTCGGCATGTCTCTTCCATTCAATCAGAAACAGCGTGGACCATGCGTCAACTCTTCCTCAAAGTTGTCAGCCTCCAGGCCACGTCCGCGCACCAATGCCTCGTCTTCGCGGAGCGAAAAAAGTGATCATCACCGTCAGCACCGATAATGTGCGCGCCTCGATCATTCATGTAAGCCGTCCACACGGAGAGCCAATTGAAATGCGCCGTGAGCTGCGCTAGCAAGATCGTTCGTGGAATTTACAGTATTTGGGAGGTGCGCACAGACGTTTTTCGTTCGCTCGCACCCTTCGCCCGTACGGCAGGCGCACAATTATTTCCCGCATCGCAGATTGGACCGATTTTCGTTCCCCCTGGAAAAACACTCGGCGCAGGAAGTGCAGTGCCCCATTCAAACCCCCTCTCCTCCCGACCGTCCACTTTCTCCGTTTCGCAGGTAAACGACCTTCACACCGCCAGTCACGCTGGAGCGAAAACTGGCGACGAACGATTCTCCTCCTCCTCACCCCCCTCCACACTCGCACCTCCACACACACCGTCAGACGAAGTGTCCAGCTGTCTGCTTGAATTCGCAATACTTATCGCCCAGCGAACTGTGCTCGTCGCGGGGGTTAGGAAGGAGAAAAAAGTGGTGCTGAACGGTCGACTCCATCCCTCCCCTACGTTCTGCACTGCACACCTCCGCAGGAGCAGTGCGACAAGCGTGCGCGAAACTGTTCCCCCTCCTGACACCAACGATCACCAACAGAACGAGGCGCACATGACGCTTCCCCGTCACGCGCGTTTCCTCCCACCCTCCCTCGCGCGCGACAGCGAGTGTGGGTGGGTGGGACGGTGGGGACCGTCCGTCAATCGATCCCAGTGAACAGTTGCACCAGCCAGCTCCGCCGACGTTCGAGACGAGAAACGGTGGGTCGTTTGTTCCCCCTGATTCCTGCACCGGCCGTCGCTTTTCAGCACAGTTTCACACGGAATAGACCCGCAGGCCAATGCGCTTGCATAAAGTGCAGACCCCTCCCCCATTCTCGAGGACAACGAAAGCATTCCTTCCAATTTCCTACCTACCAACATTTTCTGCTCGCCCGAATAACCCACCCATTTAGCAAAATTGCAAAGAAGTACTGAAAAGCTCAACATAGTTCGGCCTCCCCACCATCATTAGAGCTCTTCGCGTTACTAGATCGTAGTCGTTAGATCGTTTTACATTTGAGGCTTTATCCTCCCGTAGCTCACGACGTTCAATATGGCCGCTCCCAACTTCCGTAGCGCATCTGTTTCCGCTCCCCAGACCCGCCAGGTCTCCCCTCCGCCTAGTAGGTTCGGCGCATCTTGCGCTCCTCCCTTGCGCCAGAACTCGCTCGACAGCTTCCGCGCCAAGGTCAAGCCGCTCGTGATTGCGCGCCCCGCCACCGCTGACGAGGCGCCCGGCGAGCGCCATCCTCTAGAAATCTGGGAGATTAACTACGACGAGATTTTCCCCAACTCCGCGCGCCTCGCGAAGCAGTTCGCCGAAAAGTCGCTCAAGCTGTCCAGCCCGCCCGTTCCCAGCGCCGCATCACCCGCCGCATCATCCGTCGTACCATCAGCGGCTTGCGCTTCCGCTGCGCGGACAGCGCCCCAGCAGCTCACTCCCCGCGATCGCGTTTCTGAGGCGCTCCCGTCGCTGTCCCCCGACGTCGACAATTCTAGCCCGCTTTCCGAGCTCGCCTCCCCACAATCTCCCCCCCGCATCACCATCCCCGCGCGCGCGCTCGACGATTTCACCTCCCCCCCGTCGTTCCCCCAGCTGCGCGCGCGCATGCTCGGTTGCAAGCTCGGCACGCCTTGCATCGTGTCGCTCGCCCGCACGCCCGGCGATCCCGGCGCGTGGGACGCCGACGACGAGGAGTACGAGTCAGAAGAGAGCACCCGGCGGCGGTTCCGCCGCTCCGGTAGCACCGGCGGAAGCCGCCACTGGGTTGGCGAAAAGGTGGGGGCATGCGCGGAAGGCGGAAATTACAAAGAGCGCGCGCGGGGCCCGTCTCCGCTGTCCGGGCGAGTTGTGGCGGGGAGTTGCCGGAGCCCGCAGCGGCAGCAGCACGGTACGGGAAGGGTACTCGTCAAGCGCTGCTCCGATCCCGTTATGAGGAGTCCCAGAGAGGTGCCGAATCATGGGTCACGATTGCAGCAGGTTCGGGATGCCGAACCTGAGTCTCGGCACCGGCTGGCTCGAACAAGCAGCAAAGGCTCGGAAACGTCGGTGCTCAGCTCCTCCGCCGGCCGGCGACGACGGTCGTGCGGACGGTTTAGCGAGTCCGCAAGCGTGGGTTCGCAGAAAGTTCGCATGACGGTGCGGTTTTACTCTGACCTGCTCGATCCGTGCGTGATTGGCGCGCTGGCTGCGCCTTGCGCCACTGCTGCGAGCTCCGCGCGCCGGGAGCATAAGTCCCCCATCCGCGGAACCCAGAGCGGAGGAGAGGGAGAAGGGAAGCGCCGCGTGGGCGGAGATAGCGGGGGAAGCAGTGGGCGCGCGGCTGGCGGAAGCGTACAGAGCCCTCTTTGCGGAAGGGGTTCCCGCGGAGGGGTTGTGCGAGGGGGGTTGGCTGCGGCGGCAACCGCGGCTGCTGCTGCGACTGGCCCCTGTCGCGTTGTGTCACTGTGCTGAAGGCGATCCCGATATCCGCGTTTGAAGTGACAACCGAGCAGGCGCATGGAATCTACAGCTGCACTTTCTTCTTCATCGACTTATTCATTCATTTTTTTGAGTTACAACCATTCTGTAACTCGTGAAGACTGACTTTCATTTAGGACTCCTATCTGCACATCGTGACCTGTACAGCGCTGTGCAGAATACTATTAGGAAGCATTCCTATACGCTGTATAGAGTGCTAACTAGGTGGTAGATTGCCTGATAGATGTAGATAGCCAGAGTTACTACCATTCCACTTTCCTATGTGAGAGTCATTTGCGTAGTCTATTTTCAACAAGAATTACTTCGTCGTAAGGAATATATGTTAAATCATCTCAAGCTGCTGTTGGACTTTAGAGTAGCATATGCAATTACACCGACTCACGTGCAAAGCGACGACGAGGGAAAAGGTCTGTCTACAAGACGTGTGGCAACCCAGCAGCACTCCAGTCCAGTCCCATCTGTACAATGACCACCCTCTTCACTCTCACCTCCAACAATTCACTTGCGCCTCCACCTTCAACCGATATGACCCCTCATCCTCTCCTCTATTCAACTGGTCCTCTACCTACCTGCCACTAACAGCATCCGTGCTCCCTCCCACCTCCTGCTCCCTCCCACCTCCTGCTCCCTCCCACCTCCTGCTCCCTCCCACCTCCTCCTCCCTCCCACCTCCATCCCTGCTCATCACTTTTCACACCGTACAGGCTAGCCCTATCCCCAGCATCACTCCAACCCATCACTTCATGCCGCCATTACCAGCACTCCCTCCCATCACCATCCTCCCAGCAGTACCCATCTCAACTCCCAAGCACCGTGCGCTCTGCCCCTCCACATCCCCGTCACTCCTCTCAGCCACCCCAGGTAACGCCTCCCCCAGATACTCCCTCCTGAGCGCTGTGAGCTCAGATACCACCTGCACCATGTCAGGACGAGATGCGGCCGGCATGGCTGTGCAGCGCAGCGCCAGCTGCGCGATCCGCAGAATCAAATCTGCGGGAGCGTCCAATCGCGGGTCTTTGAGCTCGTCTGTTTTGCCTTCTTTGATTAAATCCTCCGCCTGATGGGTAAAAGTTGGGTATGGGGGAAGGGTTGGCAGGAGGAAAGGGTGGGGAAAGGGGAAAGGGGTAACCTTCTGGGGCGCCCCTAATGTGCAATCGGGGGTTCTTGAGTTCACCTGCCTCGCCTTCTTTGACTAGATCCTCCGCCTGATGGGTAAAGTTTGGGTATGGGGGAAGGGTTGGGTATGGGGGAAGGGTTGGGCATGGGGGAAGGAAGGTGATAGAACAGCTTGGTACAGGGAACGAAAGTGACAAGGATGGGTTACCACGGGTGTGTGAAGGAGAGAATGGAAGAGGCATTGTCTGCCTGCGGGGATGGATGAGGACTTTGAATGGAAGAGGCTTTGCCCCTCAAGTCTTGAGGCGCTTCAAAAGTCGTCTTTTGGGGCGCCTCAAAAGAATGGAAGAGGCATTGTCTGCCCGCGGGGATGGATGGGGACTTTGCACCTCAAGTCTTGAGGCGCAAAGTGGATGGATGGGGACTTTGCACCTCAAGTCTTGAGGCGCAAAGTGGATGGATGGGGACTTTGCACCTCAAGCCTTGAGGCGCAAAGTGGATGGATGGGGACTTTGCACCTCAAGCCTTGAGGCGCAAAGTGGATGGATGGGGACTTTGCACCTCAAGCCTTGAGGCGCAAAGTGGATGGATGGGGACTTTGCACCTCAAGCCTTGAGGCGCAAAGTGGATGGATGGGGACTTTGCACCTCAAGCCTTGAGGCGCAAAGTGGATGGATGGGGACTTTGCACCTCAAGTCTTGAGGCGCAAAGTGGATGGATGGGGACTTTGCACCTCAAGCCTTGAGGCGCAAAGTGGATGGATGGGGACTTTGCACCTCAAGTCTTGAGGCGCAAAGTGGATGGATGGGGACTTTGCACCTCAAGCCTTGAGGCGCAAAGTGGATGGATGGGAACTTTGCACCTCAAGCCTTGAGGCGCAAAGTGGATGGATGGGGACTTTGCACCTCAAGCCTTGAGGCGCAAAGTGGATGGATGGGGACTTTGCACCTCAAGCCTTGAGGCGCAAAGTGGATGGATGGGGACTTTGCACCTCAAGTCTTGAGGCGCAAAGTGGATGGATGGGGACTTTGCACCTCAGCTTGGCATTGAGATTGCATGGCATGGTGCAGCTTGGCATTGAGATTGCATGGCATGGTGCAGCTTGGCATTGAGATTGCATGGCATGGTGCAGCTTGGCATTGAGATTGCATGGCATGGTGCAGCTTGGCATTGAGATTGCATGGCATGGTGCAGCTTGGCATTGAGATTGCATGGCATGGTGCAGCTTGGCATTGAGATTGCATGGCATGGTGCAGCTTGGCATTGAGATTGCATGGCATGGTGCAGCTTGGCATTGAGATTGCATGGCATGGTGCAGCTTGGCATTGAGATTGCATGGCATGGCGCAGCTTGGCATTAAGATTGCATGGCATGGTGCAGCTTGGCATTGAGATTGCATGGCATGGTGCAGCTTGGCATTGAGATTGCATGGCATGGTGCAGCTTGGCATTGAGATTGCATGGCATGGTGCAGCTTGGCATTGAGATTGCATGGCATGGTGCAGCTTGGCATTGAGATTGCATGGCATGGTGCATCTTGGCATTGAGATTGCATGGCATGGTGCAGCTTGGCATTGAGATTGCATGGCATGGTGCAGCTTGGCATTGAGATTGCATGGCATGGTGCAGCTTGGCATTGAGATTGCATGGCATGGTGCAGCTTGGCATTGAGATTGCATGGCATGCATCACAGAACACGGCAAGCCTTACCCATTTGCGGATGTTGAGTTTGGAGTCATTGCCGTCTGACATGACTGCTGGGCGTGGCATGGCATGGCATGGCGTGGCATGGCATGGCATGGCATGGCATGGCATGGCATGGCATGGCGTGGCATGGCATGGCGTGGCATGGCATGGCATGGCATGGCATGGCGTCCTACGGTACGGATTTGCATGATATGGCATGAGCATAGCAGCGCTTACCCATTCATGAATGTTGAGTTCAGAGTCACTGCCGTCTGACATGACTGCTGGGCGTGCACGCGATTGTGTGGCATGGCATGATATGGCATGATATGGCATGGCAGAGCGCAGCACGGTACGACCTACCCATTTGCGGATGTTGAGTTCAAAGTCACTGCCGTCTGACATGACTGCTGGGCGTGCACGCGATTGTGTGGCATGGCATGATATGGCATGGCAGAGCACGTCAGGGCTTACCCATTTGCGAATGCTGAGCTCGGAGTCATCGCCGTCTGAGATGATATGATATGATATGATATGATATGATATGATATGATATGATATGATATGATATGATATGGCATGGCATCATATGGCATGCACGGCAGAGCACGCCAGGGCTTACCCATTTGCGGATGTTGAGTTCGGAGTCATTGCCGTCGGAGATGACATAGCATGGCTTGGCATTGGATGATATTGCAGGACAAAGAAGGGCATCGCTCACCCATTTGCGGATGTTGTGTTCGGAGTCATTGCCGTCGGAGATGACATAGCATGGCTTGGCATTGGATGATATTGCAGGACAAAGAAGGGCATCGCTCACCCATTTGCGGATGTTGAGTTCGGAGTCATTGCCGTCGGAGATGACATAGCATGGCTTGGCATTGGATGATATTGCAGGACAAAGAAGGGCATCGCTCACCCATTTGCGGATGTTGAGTTCGGAGTCATTGCCGTCGGAGATGACATAGCATGGCTTGGCATTGGATGATATTGCAGGACAAAGAAGGGCATCGCTCACCCATTTGCGGATGTTGAGTTCGGAGTCATTGCCGTCGGAGATGACATAGCATGGCTTGGCATTGGATGACATTGCAGGACAAAGAAGGGCATCGCTCACCCATTTGCGGATGTTGAGTTCGGAGTCATTGCCGTCGGAGATGACTGCTGGGCGTGCCGACAGCACCATGAGCATCACCAATCCGAAGCTGAGGAGGTAGATGGATAGGTAGACGGGTGGATGCATGGAGTAGGGTTGATGGGCGGACGGAGTAATGAATATGTGAGCTGGGCGTGCCGACAGCACCATGAGCATCACCACTCCGAAGCTGAGGAGGTAGATGGATAGGTAGACGGGTGGATGCATGGAGTAGGGTTGATGGGCGGACGGAGTAATGAATATGTGAGCTGGGCGTGCCGACAGCACCATGAGCATCACCACTCCGAAGCTGAGGAGGTAGATGGATAGGTAGACGGGTGGATGCATGGAGTAGGGTTGATGGGCGGACGGAGTAATGAATATGTGAGCTGGGCGTGCCGACAGCACCATGAGCATCACCACTCCGAAGCTGAGGAGGTAGATGGATAGGTAGACGGGTGGATGCATGGAGTAGGGTTGATGGGCGGACGGAGTAATGAATATGTGAGCTGGGCGTGCCGACAGCACCATGAGCATCACCACTCCGAAGCTGAGGAGGTAGATGGATAGGTAGACGGGTGGATGCATGGAGTAGGGTTGATGGGCGGACGGAGTAATGAATATGTGAGCTGGGCGTGCCGACAGCACCATGAGCATCACCACTCCGAAGCTGAGGAGGTAGATGGATAGGTAGACGGGTGGATGCATGGAGTAGGGTTGATGGGCGGACGGAGTAATGAATATGTGAGCTGGGCGTGCCGACAGCACCATGAGCATCACCACTCCGAAGCTGAGGAGGTAGATGAATAGGTAGACGGGTGGATGCATGGAGTAGGGTTGATGGGCGGACGGAGTAACGAATATGTGAGCTGGGCGTGCCGACAGCACCATGAGCATCACCACTCCGAAGCTGAGGGGTCAGAGAAGGGCGATATGGGTGGATGGATGGGTGAACGGGCGAATGGAGTAGTGAGTGAGTGGAGTCATTGACGTCTGAGATGACTGCTGGTCGTGCCGACAGCACCATGAGCATCACCACGCCAAAGCTGAGGGGCTTATAGCAGGGTGGATGGACGAACGGGTGAATGGGTGAATGGGTGAATGGATGGAGTAATGAACGAGCGGGTGAATGATGGGCGTGCCGACAGCACCACGAGCATCACCACGCCAAAGCTGAGGGGCTTCAGAGCAGGGATCGCAATGGGTGCACAATGGGAGTGGTTGGTTACAGACCAACGGGTAGGGCGAACATGTGTGGTTATGGACAACACATGGCAAATCGGTGAGGCTACGGAGAAGAGTGGGAAAGCATGAGCGAGAGGTTGAACAACGTTCAATGCAGGCATATGCAATGCCACTTCCTGCTTGCACAATCTATATCGCCCCATACTGCGCTGCACCGCTCTGTATTGTTCTGTAGTGCGGTAATGCATTACACGGTACACCGCACTCCACCACTCAGTACCTGTACTCATCGGCCATGGGGGTGGCCTTGCTGGACTTGACAAAAGCAGGATCCACATAGCCCAGGGTGCCCATCACTCCCAACCACTCCCTTACAGCACATTACTGACCAAATTGCACCGCTCTAGACCACTATGTACCAACCTGTACTGCTCTGTACATCTCTGTACCACACTGCACTGCTCTGTACCTGTACACATCGGCCGATGGAGTGGCCTTGCTGGACTTGAAGCAAGCGGGGTCCACATAGCCCAGTTTGCCCATCACTCCCTTGTAGGACAACACCGGCTGGCACTGCTCCGTAATGCTTGATAAAGCTCAGCAGCACACTGTACCTCTCTGCACCGCTTTGTACCTGTACACATCGGCCGATGGGGTGGCCTTGCTGGACTTGACATAAGCAGGATCCACATAGCCTGGTGTGCCCATTACTCTGGTCGAGCCCACAGCAGTGCCCTCGCCCTCCCTCAGCAGCCCAAAGTCGGCAATCTCAGCCTGATAGGAAGGGATTTGTGGTGAGACAAGGTTGAAATGAGGGGGTGGTGACATGATACGACAAGGATGAGATGAGGTGTGCTTGTATGACCTCAGCTCAAATCACTCAGGTCGAGCCCACAGTGCTGCCCTCCCCCTCCCTCAGCAGCCCAAAGTCAGCGATCTTAGCCTGGTGGGAGGAAATTTTAGAGTAGGGAAGACAAGACAAGGGCGGTATAGGGTGGAGTGCTCGAATCACTCTGGTGGAGCCCACTGTGCTGCCCTCGCCCTCCCCTCACCAGCCCAAAGTCAGCAATCTTAGCCTGCTGGGTGGTGTGTGTCATGGTGAGGTGGGATGTTATGGTGAGGCAAGGCCGGTATAAGGTGGGGTGCTCGAATCACTCTGGTGGAGCCCACTGTGCTGCCCTCTCCCTCCCTCAGCGGCCCAAAGTTGGAAATCTTGGCCTGGTGGGGTGGGTGGGTTGTTATGATGAGGAGAGGGTGATAAAAGGTGGTGTGCTTGTAATGAGTAGTCTCGAATCACTCTGGTAGCGCCCACAGCAGTGCCCTCCCCTTCCCTCAGCAGCCCAATGTCAGCAATCTTAGCCTGGTGGGCGGGGTGTGATGAGTACAGAAGGCAAGGCAAAGGGGAGATGAGGTGGTGAGCTTCAGTGGATCAGAGTGAGCTTCAGTGGATCAGAGTGAGCTTCAGTGGATCCGAGTGAGCTTCAATGGATTCGAGTGAGCTTCAGTGGATCCGAGTGAGCTTCAGTGGATCCGAGTGAGCTTCAGTGGATCCGAGTGAGCTTCAGTGGATCCGAGTGAGCTTCAGTGGATCCGAGTGAGCTTCAGTGGATCCGAGTGAGCTTCAGTGGATCCGAGTGAGCTTCAGTGGATCCGAGTGAGCTTCAGTGGATCCGAGTGAGCTTCAGTGGATCCGAGTGAGCTTCAGTGGATCCGAGTGAGCTTCAGTGGATCCGAGTGAGCTTCAGTGGATCCGAGTGAGTCCGAGTGACCTTCAGTGGATCCAAGTGAGCTTCAGTGGATCCGAGTGACCTTCAACCGATCCGAGTGACCTTCAACCGATCCGAGTGACCTTCAATGGATCCGAGTGACCTTCAATGGATCCGAGTGACCTTCAATGGATCCGAGTGACCTTCAACGGATCCGAGTGACCTTCAACGGATCCGAGTGACCTTCAACGGATCCGAGTGACCTTCAACGGATCCGAGTGAGCTTCAATGGATCAGAGTGAGATTCAACGGATCCGAGTGACCTTCAACGGATCCGAGTGACCTTCAACGGATCCGAGTGACCTTCAACGGATACGAGTGACCTTCAACGGATCCGAGTGACCTTCAACGGATCCGAGTGAGCTTCAATGGATCCGAGTGAGATTCAACGGATCCGAGTGAGCTTCAACGGATCCGAGTGAGCTTTAATGGATCCGAGTGAGCTTCAACGGATCCGAGTGAGCTTCAACGGATCCGAGTGAGCTTCAACGGATCCGAGTGAGCTTCAACGGATCCGAGTGAGCTTCAACGGATCCGAGTGAGCTTCAACGGATCCGAGTGAGCTTCAACGGATCCGAGTGAGCTTCAATGGATCCGAGTGAGCTTCAATGGATCCGAGTGAGCTTCAACGGATCCGAGTGAGCTTCAATGGATCCGAGTGAGCTTCAATGGATCCGAGTGAGATTCAATGGATCCGACTCAAATCACTCTGGTCGAGCCCACTGTGCTGCCCTCTCCCTCCCTCACCAGCCCAAAGTCGAAAATCTTGGCCTGGTGGGTAGATGGGCTGTTATGATGAGAAGAGGGTGATATAAGGTGGTGTGCTTGTAATGAGTCGGCTCGAATCACTCTGGCAGCGCCCACAGTGGTGCCCTCCCACCCCCTCCCTCAGCAACCCAAAGTCAGCTTGGCCTGGTGGGGTGGGTGGAGGGTGAGTGAAGGTTGAGCACTTGAAGTAAGCGGGGTTCAAAAAGACCCGGTGTGCCCAACACTCTAGTTGAACCCACTGTGGTGCCCTCTCCCTCCCTCACCAGCCCAAATTCGGAAATCTTGGCTTGGTGGGTAGGTGGGCTGTTATGATGAGAAGCGGGTGATATAAGGCGGTGTGCTTGTAATGAGTCATCTCGAATCACTCTGGCATCGCCCACAGTGGTGCCCTCCCACCCACTCCCTCAGCAGCCCAAAGTCAGCTTGGCCTGGTGGGGTGGGGCGTTATAGTAAGACAAGGGTGATATAAGGCGGTGTGCTTGTATTGAGTCGGCTCGAATCACTCTGGTAGCGCCCACAGTGCTGCCCTCTCCTCCCTCACCAGCCCAGTGTATGAGACCAGGCAAAACCAGGGAAGAAATGAAAGAACAGTGAAGATCAGGGAAGCAAAAGGAAGATCAAGGTTTTGGGTTTGATGTCGCGATGCATGATGCTCTACAGATAGAGGACAGTGGTGCTCAAAACAGCAACAGAGGGATGACAAGAGACAGAGAGGGGTTGTCCTGGAAGGGAAGGGGCTCACCTCAAACTTGTCATCTAGGAGGATGTTGGCGGGCTTGATGTCACGATGCACGATGCAGGGGAGGTGCTCACACGGGAAGGCACGACACAGAACAGAGAGGGGCTCACCTCAAACTTGTCATCTAGGAGGATGTTGGCGGGCTTGATGTCACGATGGAGTATGGCCCCCATTGAGGACAGAAAACGGCGCGTATGACAACAGAGAAATGGCAGAGAGACAGACAGCAGGGGCTGCCCTGCAAGGATGCGGCTCACCTCGAACTTGCCGTCGAGCAGGATGTTGGCGGGCTTGATGTCACGGTGCACGATGCCCCATGCCGAGGGCATAGAGTGGTGCGTATAGCGATAGGAAAATGTGGTATCCACAGAGGCAGGAGGGGCTGACCTCGAACTTGCCCTCCATTGACAACAGAGAAATGGCAGAGAGACAGACAGCAAGGATGCGGCGCTTATGACAACAGATGCCGAAGGGGCTGACCTCGAACTTGTGATCGAGCAGGATGTTGGCGGGCTTGATGTCGCGGTGCACGATGCCAAAGCTGTACAGATACTCGATCCCGTGGGCCGCCCCGATGAGCACCGCCACGCGCTGCGCCACCGCCAGCGGCTGTGCCGCCCCCTCCCCCACCCACCGGTCCAAGTCCCCGTGAGCCATCAACTCGTAGACTACGATTTGCTCCATGCTCAGATCGCCCTGGGTGGAGTGCGGTGCTGGTGGGTTCATTTCGATGCAGTAGCCGAGCAAACGGACGAGGTTGGGGTGATGCTTCGTTGCCATTGCTGCCACCTGGAGTGAAAGGGGGGGGCAGGGGAGTAGGAGGGGTGGGGAAAAGAGTGTGGGGAATGCAAGGGACTGGAAGGGAGTGGCTCAGCTGTTGCACCCCCTCCCCCTCCCCCACCCACCGCCACAAGTCCACGTGAGCCATGAACTCGTAGACAACGATTTGCTCCATGCTCAGGTCTCCGTGTGCTGCTGGGTCGCCGTGGGTGGAGTGCGGTGCCGGTGGGTTCATTTGGATGCAGTAGCCGAGCAGGTGGACGAGGTTGGGGTGATGCTTCGTTGCCATTGCTGCCACCTGGTGAAGGGAGGATCAGAAGGGGATTCATGGGATAGGGGAATCCAGAGCGGAAGCAGTACCACCCAAAGGCAGTGCTCTCTCCTCCCACCCAAGGCAGTACCTCTCACTGAAAGCCCCAAACATATCCCAAGGTGAGAAGTCAAGCTGCTGCTTGAGGGGATATGCGGTGCTGCTGGGTGCATATGCGGTGTCGCTGGGTGTTGTACGCTCACCCAACCCACTGTTCTCCTCACCTCTTGCTGAAACCCACTGTCCTGTGGGTTGTGAAGCAGGCTCCTTCGTGAGGACGCGAGCTTGCTTCACAGCCCACAGGACAGAAGGGTTAAATGGACACATGCCCTTGGCAAGTCATGCGTGTGGTGTTGCTGGGTGCAGTGCGGTGCTGCTGGATGCAGTGGTATCACTGGATATAGTGCATGTACCTCTCTGTGAAAGTCCTTCGGGAGAATGCGAGCGCGCTTCATGGCCCACAGCACGGACGGATCATAGCGACACACGCCCTTGTAAGCGTCACATGTTGAGACATCTCAGAACTGGGTGCAGTGCGGTGCTGCTTGGTGCAGTGCACTCACCTCTCTTTGAAAGTTCTTGGTGAGGACTCTAGCCCTCTTCACGGCCCACAGCACGGACGGATCATAGCGTCACACCCCCGTAGCTGCCGGATCATACACGTCTCCGTGCGTAGCTGCCGGATCATACACGTCTCCGTGCGTAGCTGCCTGACGCTGCCAATGCGGTTGCGACTTGATAAAGGTAACATCTTGAGACGTCTCAAAATGTTACTTTTATCACGTGACAGACGGATCGTAGCGACACACGCCCGTATACACGTCTCCGTCCGTAGCTGTAGCTGCCGCTGCCAATGCGGTTGCTCTCTGCCCTCACTTCCCACCCACCCAAGCCGGCATGCTATGCTCACACTCACCTCTCTCTGAAAGTCCTTGGTGGGGACTCGAGCTCGCTTCACGGCCCACAGCACAGAGGGATCGAAGGGACACGCCGTTGGCAAGGGGGGCGTCTGGTGTTGCTGGGTGCAGTGTGGTGCTTCTGGGTGCAGTGCACTGTGCACATACCTCTCGTTGAAAGTCCTTGGTGAGGATTCGAGCTTGCTTCACAGCCCACAGCACAGAGGGGTCGCAGGGACACACCCCCTTACAAACCACGGGTTGAGACATCTCAGAACTGGGTGCAGTGTGGTGCTGCTTGGTGCAGTGCGCTCACCCCTCTCTGAAAGTCCTTGGTGAGGATGCGAGCTCGCTTCACGGCCCACAGCACAGAGGGATCGAAGGGACACACGCCCTTATACACGTCTCCCAAGGCACTGCCCTCACCTCACCTCCCACTCAAGCCCATATGCTCACCTCTCGTTGAAAGTCCTTGGTGAGAATTCGAGCTCGCTTCACAGCCCACAGCACAGAGGAATCTTAGGGACACACGCCTCTGTACACGTCTCCATAGCTGCCGCTGCCAATGCGGTTACTCTCCACCCTCACTTCCCGCCCAAGCCCACGTGTGCTCACCTCTCGTTGGAAGTCCTTGGTGAGAATTCGAGCTCGCTTCACAGCCCACAGCACAGAGGAATCATAGGGACACACGCCTCTGTACACGTCTCCATAGCTGCCGCTGCCAATGCGGTTGCTGTCGGCCCAGTTGTTGGTGGCCTGGGTGATGTCCGCAAGGGAGAATCGCTGGCACACTTGAGGTGAAAAGTCAACACCAGCCTTACCTGCAGTGGGGAGGGATAGGGAGAAACAGTGCGGCAGGTAAGGATGGGAAAGAAGGAGAGCCGCTTAGCAGGTGGAGCCAATGTGCTCCCCACACAGTTGTTGGTGCCTGTGCGCACCGTGATTGGTGGCATGCGCCAGGTCAGCAACGGATAACCTGCAATGGGGAGGAATGGAGAGGAAGGTGCGGCAGGTAAGGGAAGGGAGAAGGGCTGCCAGGCCAGTGCGGTTGCTGTCATTCCAGTTGTTGCTGGCATGGGTGATGGTGCCCACATAGGCGAACCTTTGAGGCGCCTCAAAAGTCCTCAAAAGTCGTTTTTGAGGCGCCTCAAAAGGAATGGAGAGGAAGGTGCAGCAGGTAAGGGAAGGGAAAAGGGCTGCCAGGCCAGTGCGGTTGCTGTCATTCCAGTTGTTGCTGGCATGGGTGATGGTGCCCACATAGGCGAACCTCTGACACACCTGAGGTGCTACTTTTGATCATTCTCACAAGTAACGCCAATACATCTGAGGTGCGTAGTCAACATGAGGCGCAAAAGCATTCAAAAGGGACTTGCAAGTTTCCTCAGGGTCCAGCCCTTCCTTGCGCCTCGCCTCTCCCTGGCAGAGGAGAAGGATCAGCCCCGCAGCTGCCAGCGGCGGCAGCAGCACAGCAACCACAATGCCAATGCTCAACTCCACATACACGCCATGATGCCCGCGCTCATACCTTCTTTGCGCCTCTCCCTGCGCCTAAGGCAGAGGAGAAGGATCAGCCCCGCAGCTGCCAGCAGCGGCAGCAGCACAGCAACCACAATGCCAATGCTCAACTCCACATACACGCCATGATGCCCGCGCTCATACCTTCTTTGCGCCTCTCCCTGCGCCTAAGGCAGAGGAGAAGGATCAGCCCCGCAGCTGCCAGCAGCGGCAGCAGCACAGCAACCACAATGCCAATGCTCAACTCCACATACACGCCATGATGCCCGCGCTCATACCTTCTTTGCGCCTCTCCCTGCGCCTAAGGCAGAGGAGAAGGATCAGCCCCGCAGCTGCCAGCGGCGGCAGCAGCACAGCAACCACAATGCCAATGCTCAACTCCACATACACGCCATGATGCCCGCGCTCATACCTTCTTTGCGCCTCTCCCTGCGCCTAAGGCAGAGGAGAAGGATCAGCCCCGCAGCTGCCAGCGGCGGCAGCAGCACAGCAACCACAATGCCAATGCTCAACTCCACATACACGCCATGATGCCCGCGCTCATACCTTCTTTGCGCCTCTCCCTGCGCCTAAGGCAGAGGAGAAGGATCAGCCCCGCAGCTGCCAGCGGCGGCAGCAGCACAGCAACCACAATGCCAATGCTCAACTCCACATACACGCCATGATGCCCGCGCTCATACCTTCCTTGCGCCTCTCCCTGCGCCTAAGGCAGAGGAGAAGGATCAGCCCCGCAGCTGCCAGCGGCGGCAGCAGCACAGCAACCACAATGCCAATGCTCAACTCCACATACACGCCATGATGCCCGCGCTCATACCTTCTTTGCGCCTCTCCCTGCGCCTAAGGCAGAGGAGAAGGATCAGCCCCGCAGCTGCCAGCAGCGGCAGCAGCACAGCAACCACAATGCCAATGCTCAACTCCACATACACGCCATGATGCCCGCGCTCATACCTTCCTTGCGCCTCTCCCTGCGCCTAAGGCAGAGGAGAAGGATCAGCCCCGCAGCTGCCAGCGGCGGCAGCAGCACAGCAACCACAATGCCAATGCTCAACTCCACATACACGCCATGATGCCCGCGCTCATACCTTCCTTGCGCCTCTCCCTGCGCCTAAGGCAGAGGAGAAGGATCAGCCCCGCAGCTGCCAGCGGCGGCAGCAGCACAGCAACCACAATGCCAATGCTCAACTCCACATACACGCCATGATGCCCGCGCTCATACCTTCCTTGCGCCTCTCCCTGCGCCTAAGGCAGAGGAGAAGGATCAGCCCCGCAGCTGCCAGCGGCGGCAGCAGCACAGCAACCACAATGCCAATGCTCAACTCCACATACACGCCATGATGCCCGCGCTCATACCTTCTTTGCGCCTCTCCCTGCGCCTAAGGCAGAGGAGAAGGATCAGCCCCGCAGCTGCCAGCGGCGGCAGCAGCACAGCAACCACAATGCCAATGCTCAACTCCACATACACGCCATGATGCCCGCGCTCATACCTTCTTTGCGCCTCTCCCTGCGCCTAAGGCAGAGGAGAAGGATCAGCCCCGCAGCTGCCAGCCGCGGCAGCAGCACAGCAACCACAATGCCAATGCTCAACTCCACATACACGCCATGATGCCCGCGCTCATACCTTCCTTGCGCCTCTCCCTGCGCCTAAGGCAGAGGAGAAGGATCAGCCCCGCAGCTGCCAGCAGCGGCAGCAGCACAGCAACCACAATGCCAATGCTCAACTCCACATACACGCCATGATGCCCGCGCTCATACCTTCCTTGCGCCTCTCCCTGCGCCTAAGGCAGAGGAGAAGGATCAGCCCCGCAGCTGCCAGCGGCGGCAGCAGCACAGCAACCACAATGCCAATGCTCAACTCCACATACACGCCATGATGCCCGCGCTCATACCTTCCTTGCGCCTCTCCCTGCGCCTAAGGCAGAGGAGAAGGATCAGCCCCGCAGCTGCCAGCGGCGGCAGCAGCACAGCAACCACAATGCCAATGCTCAACTCCACATACACGCCATGATGCCCGCGCTCATACCTTCCTTGCGCCTCTCCCTGCGCCTAAGGCAGAGGAGAAGGATCAGCCCCGCAGCTGCCAGCGGCGGCAGCAGCACAGCAACCACAATGCCAATGCTCAACTCCACATACACGCCATGATGCCCGCGCTCATACCTTCCTTGCGCCTCTCCCTGCGCCTAAGGCAGAGGAGAAGGATCAGCCCCGCAGCTGCCAGCGGCGGCAGCAGCACAGCAACCACAATGCCAATGCTCAACTCCACATACACGCCATGATGCCCGCGCTCATACCTTCTTTGCGCCTCTCCCTGCGCCTAAGGCAGAGGAGAAGGATCAGCCCCGCAGCTGCCAGCAGCGGCAGCAGCACAGCAACCACAATGCCAATGCTCAACTCCACATACACGCCATGATGCCCGCGCTCATACCTTCCTTGCGCCTCTCCCTGCGCCTAAGGCAGAGGAGAAGGATCAGCCCCGCAGCTGCCAGCAGCGGCAGCAGCACAGCAACCACAATGCCAATGCTCAACTCCACATACACGCCATGATGCCCGCGCTCATACCTTCCTTGCGCCTCTCCCTGCGCCTAAGGCAGAGGAGAAGGATCAGCCCCGCAGCTGCCAGCGGCGGCAGCAGCACAGCAACCACAATGCCAATGCTCAACTCCACATACACGCCATGATGCCCGCGCTCATACCTTCTTTGCGCCTCTCCCTGCGCCTAAGGCAGAGGAGAAGGATCAGCCCCGCAGCAGCACAGCAACCACAATGCCAATGCTCAACTCCACATACACGCCATGATGCCCGCGCTCATACCTTCCTTGCGCCTCTCCCTGCGCCTAAGGCAGAGGAGAAGGATCAGCCCCGCAGCTGCCAGCAGCGGCAGCAGCACAGCAACCACAATGCCAATGCTCAACTCCACATACACGCCATGATGCCCGCGCTCATACCTTCCTTGCGCCTCTCCCTGCGCCTAAGGCAGAGGAGAAGGATCAGCCCCGCAGCTGCTAGCGGCGGCAGCAGCAGCGGCGGCGGCGACGGCGACTGCGGCGGCGGCGGCAGCAGCAGCAGTAGCCGCAGCAGCACACCAGACGATGCCAGTTACCTTCTCCTGCCGGATGGACAGTTGAATGAGCCGCCTTGACCACAATGCCGATTATCAACCCCGGAGATGCACCCGAAGAGGAGGGTGGTGAGGGTGAGGAGGAAGGGGGAGAGGAGGAGTTGGTGGGAGGCAGAATTACCTTCTCCTGCCCCATGGACAGTCGAATGAGCCGCCTTGCCACCTTTCCCCGCCTCCAGCCCTACTATGCGTCTCCTCCTGAGCCTAAGCCAGAGGAGAAGGATCAATCCCGCAGCTACCAGCAGCAGCAGCACAGCAACCACTATGCCGATAATCAACCCCGGAGATGCAGAGGACGAGGCGGGTGAGGAGGAGGAGGAGGGGGAGGAGGAGGAGGGAGAGGAGGAGGAGGGAGATAGGGAGGTGGTGGGAGGCTGCGAGGCGTTGG